TATATTGTTTCTTTAACCGTACAATATTCAGCACTGTTATTATCAGATAAGAAATCCTTCCGCATCACAGGAAGGGCCTATATGCATAAATTATTCCAGAAAATATGGAACACGATATCAAACTGTATACATCCAGATCGGTAAACTTGTTTGGAAAATAGATAATCTTCATTTTAAATGGTTAAACATAAAGCATTACACAGCAGAGTTCGTACTTGCTTGGGATTATCAATTTATCTCTCCATCTATGTAAATAATAACAATAATGAGAAACGTATGATAATAATAATAACAATAGCAATAATGGTAGCAGTAATAGTAATAATATTAATATTAATAATAATGGTGGCGCTGCTGCTTCAGGTGCTACTGCTGTTGCTAACAATAATAATAAAAGTAACAATAATAATAATACTAACTATAATAACACTAACAAAAATATTAACAAATATAATAATGATGATGACAATAATGATAATAATAATAATAATAATAATAGTTATAATAATAATAATAATAATAAATAACAATATCAAAACAACAAAAACAATAATAATAATCATAATAATGATAATAACAAAGACATTAATAACTACAACAATGATAATAAAAACAACCAAAATAATAATGATTATACAATAATAATAATGATATAAAGATAAAAATAATAGTAATAATAATGATGAAAATAATAAAAACAATAATAAATATAATACTACTAATAACAATAATAATAGCTAATTGTGATAATAATAATAATAATAGTAATAATAACAATAATAAAGATAATAAAACTAATAGTAATAATAACAATAACAACAACAACAATGATAATAATAAGAGTAATAGTAACAATAACAGCAATAATAGTAATGATAATAATAATAATAATAATAATGATAATAATAGCAATAAATACAATAATGACACAAACAATAATAATGATAATAATAATAATTATGATAGATATAATAATAATAATAATAATTATGATAAATATAATAATAATAATAACAACAACCATATAATAAGAGTAATAGTAACAATAACAGCAATAATAGTAATGATAATAACAATAATAATAATGATAATAATAGCAATAAATACAATAATGACACAAACAATAATAATGATAATAATAATAATTATGATAGATATAATAATAATAATAATAATTATGATAAATATAATAATAATAATAACAACAACACTAATAATAATAATAATAATGATAATAGGAATGATAATAATAATAATAATAATAATAATAATGATAATAATAATGATAATAATAATAACAATAATAATAAAATAGTAAACAAAAAAATAATAACAATAATGAAAATAATACCAATAATTATAATGATAAAAACAATAATAAGGATAATAATAAACACAACAACAGCAATAACAACAACAATAATAATGATGATAAAGTAATAATAGAAATGATAGTAATAATGATTATAATTATAACTACAAAAAATAATAACTATAAAATTTATATTGATCATAATAACAATAATAATAATATTAACAATACATAATAATAATAATGATAATAATAATAATAATAATGATAATAGTAATTATAATGTCAATCATAAAACAATAATAATAACAATAACAATGATAACAACAATAATGATAATAATATTAACAATAATAATAATAATAATAATAACTGAAAATGATAAAAACAAACACATCAACAACAGTAATAACTAGAAAAGCACTCAGAGAGTGCAAACCTCCGCCAAGGTGCGTGTACTTACACCGCTGCTGCGTCCAGACGGTAATTCGGAATGTCAGTGAAATGTGGTACACGTTTACCGTAGATTTGTGTACTTTATTGATTAATTAATTATAATAATAATAATAACCAGACGGTAATTCGGAATGTCACCAAAATTTAATCAGTTTTAAGTTAGTCCCTTTCTGACTTGTCCCCAAAAATTCTTTTTGAGCTAGGCTGCTAACAAACAAACTAACCAACAAACCAACGCCGTCAAAAACATAACCTCCTTGGCGGAGGTAATAATAATAATAATGATACTACTACTACTACTACTACTACTACTACTAATGGCAATAATGATAGCAACATTAATGATAATAATAATAATGATAACAAAAACAACAATGATAATAATAATAATAACAATAATGAAAATAATAATACAAATAATAATAATAATAATAATAATGGTAAAACAACAACAACAACAACAATAATAATGATAATAAAAATGAGAGTGATAATAATAATAATGATAATAATATGATGATAATATTGATACCAACCACAATAATAGTAATACTACTACTACTACTACTAATAATAATAATGATAATAATATTGATAATAATAATAATAATAATAATAATAATAATAATAATAATAATAATAATAATAATAATAATAATAATAATAATAATAATAATAATAATGATGGTAATACTAATAATAACAATACTAATAGTAACATTGATAATAAAGATAATAATTATAATATCGATATTGACCATAACAACAACAACAATAATAATAAAAGTAATAAAAAAATAATAATATCAACAATAATAATACAAATGATAATAATAGATATAATAGTAGGACTAACAACAACAAGAACAACAACAACAATAATAATAATATTACTAATAATAGTAATAGTAATAAAAATAATAATATCAACAACAATGATGATGATAATAATAATAATAATAATAATAATAATAATAATAATAACAATAATAATAATAATAATAATAATAATAATAATAATAATAATGATAATAACAGGAATAATAGTCATAATAGCAATGAGAATAATAATGAGAATAATAATAGAAATAATAATAATAATAATAATAGAAATAATAATAATGATAATAGTAATAACAATAATGATAATAATAATAATAATGATAATAATAATAATAATAATAATAATAATAATAATAATAATAATAATGATAATGATAATAATAGCAATTATAATAATAAAAATAATAGCAATCATGATAATAATAATAATATAGTAATAATAATAATAATAATAATAATAATAACAATAAGAATAAGAATAGAAATAATGATAATAGTAATAATAATAATCATAAAACAATAATAATAACAATAACAATGATAACAACAATAATGATAATAATATTAACAATAATAATAATAATAATAATAATAACTGAAAATGATAAAAACAAACACATCAACAACAGTAATAACTAGAAAAGCACTCAGAGAGTGCAAACCTCCGCCAAGGTGCGTGTACTTACACCGCTGCTGCGTCCAGACGGTAATTCGGAATGTCAGTGAAATGTGGTACACGTTTACCGTAGATTTGTGTACTTTATTGATTAATTAATTATAATAATAATAATAACCAGACGGTAATTCGGAATGTCACCAAAATTTAATCAGTTTTAAGTTAGTCCCTTTCTGACTTGTCCCCAAAAATTCTTTTTGAGCTAGGCTGCTAACAAACAAACTAACCAACAAACCAACGCCGTCAAAAACATAACCTCCTTGGCGGAGGTAATAATAATAATAATGATACTACTACTACTACTACTACTACTACTAATGGCAATAATGATAGCAACATTAATGATAATAATAATAATGATAACAAAAACAACAATGATAATAATAATAATAACAATAATGAAAATAATAATACAAATAATAATAATAATAATAATAATGGTAAAACAACAACAACAACAACAATAATAATGATAATAAAAATGAGAGTGATAATAATAATAATGATAATAATATGATGATAATATTGATACCAACCACAATAATAGTAATACTACTACTACTACTACTAATAATAATAATGATAATAATATTGATAATAATAATAATAATAATAATAATAATAATAATAATAATAATAAAAGTAATAATAATAATAATAATAATAATAATAATAATAATGATGGTAATACTAATAATAACAATACTAATAGTAACATTGATAATAAAGATAATAATTATAATATCGATATTGACCATAACAACAACAACAATAATAATAAAAGTAATAAAAAAATAATAATATCAACAATAATAATACAAATGATAATAATAGATATAATAGTAGGACTAACAACAACAAGAACAACAACAACAATAATAATAATATTACTAATAATAGTAATAGTAATAAAAATAATAATATCAACAACAATGATGATGATAATAATAATAATAATAATAATAATAATAATAATAATAACAATAATAATAATAATAATAATAATAATAATAATAATAATAATGATAATAACAGGAATAATAGTCATAATAGCAATGAGAATAATAATGAGAATAATAATAGAAATAATAATAATAATAATAATAGAAATAATAATAATGATAATAGTAATAACAATAATGATAATAATAATAATAATGATAATAATAATAATAATAATAATAATAATAATAATAATAATAATAATAATAATGATAATGATAATAATAGCAATTATAATAATAAAAATAATAGCAATCATGATAATAATAATAATATAGTAATAATAATAATAATAATAATAATAACAATAAGAATAAGAATAGAAATAATGATAATAGTAATAATAATAATAATAATAATAATAATAATAATAATAATAATGATAATAATAATAATAATAATAATAATAATAATGATAATAATAGCAATTATGATAATAATAATAGCAATCATGATAATAATAATAATAACAGCAAAAACAACAACAAGAACAACAATGATAATAAAAAAAATAATAATAAATAAATAATAATAATAATAATAATAATGATAATAATAGTAATGATAATAATGATAATAAAAGAAGAATAATGATAATAAAAATAATAATGACAATCAGAACAATAAAAATAATTACGACAATAATAATCAAATAATAATGAAGAATGAGGGTAATAATAATAATAATAACAATAATGAAAAAAAAACAAT